GAAAGAAAAGCATTCAGCATCCAACCTGGGTGTAGATCTCTGTCTGCATACTTAGAAGTAGTGGGGCTTCGGATAACGAACATTTTCCAAGCCTCTGCTTTCTCCTCTGTAAAAGCAAATCTTTGAGTTGTTTTGAAGGTCAGAAATAATATATGGAGAGTGATTGGCTTACTGCAGACACTCGGTAGATGCTGTTAATAACAACGGTGAAGTGATGTTTGTGAAGTTGACAGCAGATGGGGGGAAAAGGTTGGCATTAGTAAAGGCCCTGAGGCATGGAAAATTCCTGATGGATTTGGAGAACAGTGAGCTGGAGAGAATCCCCCCAAAACGTAGTTGCTTGAGAACATTCTGTGCCACACCTGAGTTTATATTTTATAGGTTCAAAGACAAGAACTTAGCTCTTTAAACTGAATTATCTGATATAAGGTTGGGGACAATCCTGTGTGGTGTTTGTTGCCCAGCACAGCCATGAAAATCAGTTCCATTTTAAGATTACAGCGAGGTGTGCAGAATCTAGAGGAAGCAGGAGGTGCAGCTGCATGCTGAAAGCCAGCAGAGTCTGGTTTGTGGCTGGCTTCTCAGCTCACTTTCTTACAGCAGACGCCCAAACACTGGGATTCTCCACTTTGACAGCAGCAAATCCCACCCTTTCTAAACTTAGCACATACTGTGGGAGTCTTCATGAAATCTTTGACTTTAAAACTTTGGTGTTGCTTAGGAATTTTAAACATTTAAGTGATCATTAATTTAGGACATTTAAAAAATCTTTTAAGAGTTAGGAATACCTGTGAAAGAGCTAAAACATGTCCTCCTGACTGGTCTGTGGCACTTTTCATAACAGCCCTGAGGGAGAGACAGGGAACCAGAAGTGGGCAGTGTACCTAGCCCTTCACTGACTCTTGGGCTGGTGACTGGCTAGAAAATAATTTCATCTCTTATATTTTTGTTAAAATTTCATCTGGAATTCAAGTCTGAACTAAAAAATTTCATTCTTGATACTTTAAAAAAAGCTGCTGAGGTTATGTCTTTTTTTCTTGTTTTCTACTATTGCTGGAAAATGGTAGGAACTGGATATGTCAAGGCATTTAGATGTACTGCTCCACCCTCACGATCCAGGTGTGAGGTTGGGCCTCGTGGTGCATGTCTGTAACTCCAGCACTCTGGGAGGCTGAGGCTGGGGGAGTGGAGAACCTCAACCAGAGTGAGAACTGGGTAGTTTCTTGCCAGGAAAACCTTTCTGTTGTGGCTTTGCTTTTGCTGTGTTCAGATCGTCCCTGCCCACCCAAAAGTTTATCCTGTCCCTGGGGCAGGCAGGGGCTTGGCTTGTAGCTCAGCCCAATTCTGAGTGTAGTGATCACAATGTAGCCTCCCCCTGCACATAAACTGCAAAGAGTCACGGCCTTTTTTTGTGTGCTCACGAAGGTCCTGTCACTTTGTCACTTGGAGCTCAGGTGTCCTTGTGAGTCTGTGAACTGTTGTGGTGATCCTATGGCACATATGAGGCAGCCAGCTGTTGAAATCTCTGAAAGGCTGGCCATCAAGGGTCCAGGTCCAGCGGCTCCTGTGAGGTGGCCCCCGTGTTTACATAGACTACTTAACGTTTTCATCTTCTTGGGCAAAAAGGCTGAAGGGGGTGGGTGTCCATCCCTGTACAACTCGTTTGTCATCCTCTCCTGTTCAGCAGGAGGACACAGGCATCACCAGAGCAACCCTGTGTGCAGTTCTGTGTCCACCTCCAGGTCCCTTAGGGAAGACAGAGGCAGTAACTTGCTTCTGTGGAGACAGATGGAACCTAAAACTTCTAGATACAGACCGAGGTTGGGGCCAGACTGCCAGCTTTGTTTGCTGGGCCCCCTGGAGACTCTTGCAGCCTTTTACCAGCTCTAGGTCTCAGGTGCTCCCAGAAACAGGCACTGCTGGCTTTCTCGTTTTTTTCCAGAGACCAGTTCAGCCTGAAGGATGTCCCCTCGCAGGCCTGTAAACCTGAGTCAGTTTTGGCTTTGTTTGAAGAATCGTGGTTAAGAACGGGGGCCAAATTCATCAGGCCCCCACTCTACATGTACCTTATTCCTCCATCTCATTAAAATTTAATTTAACATTAATTAAAAATTAATTTAAAAATCCAGGTTCAGGCTAGAGAGATTATGTCTTACCATAATAAAGCTAGGATGGGCTGGGGATTTAGCTCAGAGGTTCTCCTGCCTGCCTTGCAACTGCAGGGACCTGAGTTTGACTCCGGGTACCAAAAAAAAAAACCAAAGCAAACACAAATGTGGCTTCTGACTTGCCGGTTGTGGAAGGCTCTGGTTTTACCCATGTAACCAAGCCTTACAACTGAGAAGCTGAGCCCAGAGCTGCTTAGCAGGCAGGAGGGGGGCGGGCAGCACAAGACACTCGGCCCCTCAGTCACTTCCCTTGTGATCGGGTCCTTGCTGTGGCTGTCACTCCCGTCTCCTCCTGGAGTTGGGCACTGTGATACTGTTGTGCATAGTATGACTTTGTTAAGGGTCAGTAACTGGTGCTGTGGATCTTGGCGAAGTGCTGCTCAGAGCCGCTTAGTAATGCGAAGGTGCTCACCGCACGGCCACAGGCAGCATGGCTGGGAACCTGGGCACAGAAGCCACCGCCTTGGTGCTGACACTGAGTCCTGGTGACTGGGTGTGTGGTCCCAGCGGTGCAGGTGTCCGCTGTATCTGTGTTGGGCCGGGAATAGCTCTGCGGAGTCAAAGCTCCCCCAGAGAGGGTAGGCAGGCTGTCCGGAGAGCGGGTGGTGCTGCCCAGCTGACCAGAGTGCAATCAGTGCCTTCTGGCCCACTGCTGTCATGTGATGTCAGTCTTGACCTCCATACGAAGCTGCCAGAATGTGGGCCTGCAGAAGATGCACACTTCATCCAGGCCTTCTCAAGGGTGTGTGTCAGGCTTTCTGCGTGGGCCCTGGAAGCCCCAAGTCGGGCCTGGTTCTGTGCAGAATGAGCAGGAGTCAGACGTGGCCCACAAAGGACAGCGCTCATGCTGCTCTGCACCAAGTCCTGACGAGGAACTGCTTCTGCTCTGCTGGCTTCACTCACAGGCCTGCGCCCTGCGGGATTCCAGGTGCCAAGAGAGGGACCTGAAGTGAGCCGCCAGTGCTGCCCAGGAGTCCCTTGGAGCTCTCTGCTGGCGGCCTCAGTCAGGTCTTCCCCAGCAGGATTTGTTCCAGGTTAGTGATCAGCTGCTGACTGCTGCCTAGACATGTTGCCTCTTCTCCTCTGAATATGTGGAATTGGAACAAAGATACTATTCTCTTTGAAACAACAGGCGTTTTTTTCCTGGCATTGTTACTACAAGCAAATACTGGGATTCCTGAAAAACAGTCTTCCTCCTGCTTTGTGGTTTAGCAAAGCCAGATCAGTCAGATTCCGAGTTAGTGCCAAAGATTTGTCCAGGAGTGGGGTCTCCTCTGTTCTGAGCAAAGCCCTGGAGAGGTAGGATGCTCTCTCCCCTGTGCCAGACGCCTCTCTCCCTTCCCCTTCTCCTAGGGAGGTTAAGCTCCTGAGCCTCAGGCCACAGTGGGCCTGCTACTTCTGGTGTGGTCCTGAACAGTCAGTGCCAGCTGTGTGCAGGCAGCGTTGCAGGGGGAGGGGGCACTGGCATGAGCAGCCTTTGAGGGTCAGCGCCACCCACAGGCCTTGGGACTCATGCCAGGATGGAAAAGAAAGCTGGCGAAATAGCTGGGGCTATAAGGTTGTTCCTTTTTGTCATGCAGATGCTTGTGCTTTGCAAATAGTGGTGCATTTAGCAGGGAGATCTGCGCTGTCCCCAGAGCCAGTGTTTCTAGACTTGGCTCGTTGCCTGAAGATGGTGAGCCAACAGGTTTCCCTGGGTCACGCATGTTCTAAGCACATGCGCAGAGCAACTCAGCAGGTGCAGTTGCCCCGGCAAGCGCTGAGGAAGCAGTGGCTGCATAGGTTGTGCAGCTATCACTTGGTGGTGCCAGGGCTTTGAGCAGCAGTGCATGGCCAGGTCCTGCCCACCTCTGCAGCTCCCTCCCCTCTCCTTCCTTGATGTTCTGCCGGGGTCCTCTGCCGGTGCTGTTCCCTTCCTAGTGCCTGCCACGTCCGGGCCATCTCGTCCTCCAGGTTGAGCATTACCTTTCCCAACTTGGCCGGAGTGAGGTTCTCCTCACTCCGAGTGCTGCTTTTCACATTTCCTGCCTTCCCCTTGTTCGCTGTGGAGGACCTCGTACTTCATTCATTAAAGTCTGTTGAGTGCAGAAAGGTGCTGATGATTTTGATCATGGTTTCGGCTTAGTACTGTGTACTTGAGGCAGATCAAGTCTAATGTGTGTACTTGTGTGTGTGCCCATGTGAGTGCCACCTCTGTGGTGCAGAATCACGCTCTTGAGTTACAGTCGCACTTCCAGCAGTCTCATCCCATTGTCTTTTCTCCTGTGGAGCTGAAACCTTTGTCAGTGTTGGCCCATGACTGAGACCAGTGGGAAAAGGAATGTGTAGGGGTCGTGGGCTGGGAATGAACAGTTCCTACAACGCCGTGTAAAAGGTAGAGCCTGGATTAAGACAGAAGTGAGTTTTTTGTTTTTGTATAAACCCAGTGTTGGATAGAACAGATAATACTTTTAAAGTAACCTTCCCTTCACCTGAACAATCACCACCTTTCGCTGCCATACATGAAACTGTATGTATCTCATGGGCTTGCTGCAGTGCCCTTGCCACCAGGTCTCTGAAAGGTTTCTGCTGGGGAGTCTGACCCAGAGGAGTGCAAAAGCAGGAGCTTTGACACGAAGCAGTCTTGCATTCCTTCCGCCAGGCGCTGAGGGCTGCTGCTGATGCCCCTGTCGTGTGTGAGGGGCTGGGGTGGCCTCCTACCCCTGTGGGGGCGGCCTGGCCGGGGCTGTGGTCTGGGCTCTGGTGACATCACTGCCAGTCTCTTGGATGCTGGTGCCATCAGCGAGCACAGGCCACAGGTCTTGTCTGACTCCTGCTCCTGCTGTGCCCTAGATAACCAGTTCAGAATGTCCATCCTGGAGCGGCTGGAGCAGATGGAGCGGAGGATGGCCGAGATGACGGGCTCACAGCAGCACAAGCAGGCCAGCGGAGGTGGCAGCAGCGGAGGAGGCGGCGGTGGTGGCAACGGGAATGGAGGAGGCCAAGCGCAGGTGTGTAGTGCCCAGAGCCCTCTTGGGTGCTTGTGCTTTATTCTTCCAGTTTGCAGCTGGCCCCAGGTCCTCTGCTGCTGCTGCTGTCACTCCTGGATGAAGTCCACACACTTTACAGTATCAGTGCTCTAAGGGTTAGGCTGTGTGATGGGAAAGAGTCTGAAGACATGGGGCTTCTCAGGTGCTTACTCCCTAAGCCCCAAATCTGGTCAGTCTCGGAATTCATTGCCCTGCCCGGTGGGAAACGAGGACGCCCAGTTAGAAGAGAGGCCAAGTGGAAGCTGAGGCTGCCAGGGCTCAGAATTAAACTGAAGCCTTTTTCCTTTGCATTTTGGATCTTCTTAGGGATAAATAGATACCACAGTTGAATTCAGTGATGCAAGAAGATCAGTATGAAAAGGGCCTGAGAAACTGTTCATGGAATCACCGTTTGGCAGTACCTTAGAGCATCTTCCGTGTACACTTTTTCATAAGCAGCTTGAAGAATGTTACATTGCCAAGCACAGGGAAAGTACCAAGTACTATTTCAGTACCATTGGTCTGGTTATTTGTTCAGGAGCTTCCTTTGGGGAAAGTCTCCTAGGCAGACACTGTTTATCAAGAGACCATAGTGATAAAAGGCCTGGTAGTATTTCTTCTAATACCTAGCCATTACCTGAAAACCTTCAGTAATCTCCCTCTTCATCAAGATAAGCAAATTCCTTTGCCCAATTCTTTTTTTTTTTTTTTTTATAGCACTGGGAATGGACCCAGGAACCTCAGGCATGCTAGGGAAGTGCTTTTACCTTTGAGCTAAAGCATCAACCCCTTTTCACAAATTTTTAATTTTGAGACAGAGTCTCGCAAAGTTGCCCAGCCTGGAACTTGCTTGATCCTCCTGCCTTAGCCACCTGAGTAGCTGGGATGATGGGCCTGGCCTTCCTTCACCCCTAATTTTTTTTGGATTGAACCCAAAGCTTCACGCCTGCCGGGCAAGTGCTCTACTGCTGAGCTACAGCTACATCCCCAGCCCCAGTAATTCCCTTTTTGAGTGAGTTTTTTTTATGATACTTATAAATATCAAGTGTTAATAATACTTTCAGTGTAACAGTCGTGGATGAAAACAACCCCAAGAAGCCAACTTCCTTTGTTCAAAAATTTCTTATTTTTCTGTCTTTTGGAAATAAACAAAAGATTTGGCACATAGTAAATTATTGTTCAGCTAAGCTTCGTTTTCATGAAATAATCCTAAGTTCTGTAGGAAAGATAATTACCATTTAATTCACCACATGGCCAAAATGAGAGGTTTCCATAAAATCCTTTGTCCTTTACCTACAAAATTGCACAAAGAAAGTGGTATATAAAGTCATTTGAAAGCCCCATTCCTGGGCAGCTTGACCTGTTTTGCCCTGACCTCATAGTAACTGCTGTTGAACTCTTGGCATCATCATAAGTTGGTATCAATAAATCTCTCTCTCTCTCTCTCTCTCTGATGAATATGATGGAGACATGGCTGCTTTTTGTGTAATGCAGAATCCCCTCTTTGTTCACCAGCTGGGGATTTCCGTGCATGCAGACATGTGTCTGTGGTATGTACAGAACAGCTGTGCCTGACCTGCGTAGCTGCGGCCAGTCTACAGGCTGGGAGTGCCCGACTGCACTCCTCCAAGATGTTTTTCCTGCTCTGATGAGGATGACAATACATCCATCATCTGCCTTTATTTTTTGAGGCATTTTTTCCAAATTTGAAAATAGCAATGAAGAACAACAGTAACTCTGTAATAATTGAACAATATGGAATTTATTACCAGAAAAAAACACAACACCAGAGATGCAAATTGGGATAGAAATGCCATTTATTTGGGAGAAAGTTAAACAGAAAAACTGCTGTCACAGAGGCTCAAATAAGCCACTGACATTGCTAACTTTTTGTTTTTCTTCCCTTACAACTGATTCACAGAAAACCATGTGGTTAAAATTCATGAATTTCTCTTTTTTAGGTGCCTTTATTATTAATGCTCAAATCTCAAGACCTCTCATGCTTCCCCAGTATCTGTAAAGAATAAAAATTGTTATTAGATACTCTGAAGCATTTCTTTAGGGAAGAAAACACCCACATGTAAGTGACTTGACCTTCTTTCAGAACTATCAAGAAAGCCATACATCCACATGCACTAGATGGTAACAGTAATTTATTGTTTGTTTCAACTGGAAGGCTGGACTCCTTTTCATTTAGCAATGTACGCTTTCCCCAAGACAGTGTGACAGGCACAGCCCTAGCGCCTGCTGTCAAAGGCAGGTGCCGGTGGAAATCTCCTTGTACCACGGCTGCGCAGGTGGTGCTGGGCCTCTTACATTCCTGCCTGGCGGTGCAGGTCTCTGTTCTCAGGTTTTATGTTTTCCGTCTTGAGTTGCTAAGCATCCCACTCAGCAGAGTGCTGGTGAGGTGGAGGCCTGTGTTGGGGCCAACCTGGGCTTTCTCATGACAGTGTGCCTCCGGGCCTGGGACCTTGGGGAGCTGCTTCGAGAGTCGCGTGGTCATTGTGTGTGAGAAGATGATGAGCCGAGCCTGCTGGGCAAAGTCCAAGCATCTGATCCACTCGAAGACTTTCCGGGGGATGACCCTCTTACACCTGGCTGCTGCCCAGGGCTACGCCACCCTGATCCAGACCCTCATCAAGTGGCGGTAAGGCTGCGGCGCGAACCACTGCTCATCTTCGCTCCTAGCACGTACCTGCTTAAGTGTTTCAGTGAGGGGAGAGAAATCTGGCCATTCAGTAGGCTTTGCTGCCAGTGAGCAAAGGGCTTTCTCCAAGACAGCTTCCAAAGGATCTTAATGAATCCACACCCCACCCAAACCACTGCCTGTGGGCCTCACTAAATGTTGGATTGTTTCATTTCCTTTGGACTCCCAGCCAGATGGAGAGTCTGAGCTACCCTGGGAGTCCCAGACTCTGTTTCTTCATATCAGGGAGGTTAGAGGCCCCATTTGGCTTCTTGGTAGGACAGTAGTATTCTGGTGTTTCCTTGGAGCATGGGTTGGTCGTGAGGCTCCTGGCTCCCTCTCTTGCAGCACAAAGCACGCGGACAGCATTGACTTGGAGCTGGAGGTGGACCCCTTGAATGTGGACCACTTCTCCTGCACTCCTCTGGTAAGGAGGGGCTCCTTTATGCCCTAACCATTTCTCCAGCCTGGCACAGGGATATTAGGTCCCCTAGAAACCTGCGAATGTTAGGTAAAAGATGGGTTGTAAACTGCTTTGTTAGAATAAATTTAATTGTCTGCCAAGCTGTGAACTCTGTAATGAAGTGTTTTAATGTACGTCCTCAGAGACAAAAGGCTTATTATTAGGAATTTACATGTGTGTGTTGGAAAGACGAATCTTAGAGTGTTAGGTAACGGGGATCTTAGAATGTTACTTAAAAGATGAGTGAATTTGACCGTTTTTGCAGACCGAACTCTGCAGTGAAGTCTTAATCATGCCTACAGTAACCCTTAACTGCTGTAGGACATTCACCCACGGTTCTTTGTAAGGCTGATGTGTAATTCCCCACAAGGACCAGTTTGGCAGCAATGGCAAAGGTAAACCACAGCTCTGGTGTCTTACTGAGAAAGCTGTCCTTGCCTCCTGTTCCAGATGTGGGCATGCGCCCTAGGGCACTTGGAAGCTGCTGTGGTACTGTACAAGTGGGACCGGCGGGCCATCTCCATCCCCGACTCTCTAGGAAGGCTGCCTTTGGGAATTGCCCGCTCACGGGGCCATGTGAAGTTAGCAGAGTGTCTGGAACACCTACAGAGAGACGAGCAGGCTCAGCTGGGACAGAAGCCCAGGATGCACTGTCCCCCAAGTGAGGAGCCAGGTACAGACAGCTGGATGGCCCAGTGGCACAGCGAGGCTGTGAGCTCTCCAGAGATACCCAAAGGCGTCACCGTTATTGCAAGCACCAATCCAGGTAAAAACTGAACACAACAGCATCTCAGACCTTGGCCGCTCTCCCATTTGCTTTCCCGCACCACCCTAGGAAAGGCCATCAGAGAGTCACATTTGTTATTTTTTTATGTTTCTGCTTTTCTTTTTAAAATGCCTTCTGCTCCCTCCCTGTCAAAAAACATAGAATGTAGCAAAAATTCTATGTTCGTGCAAGAAATACACCTTCTTGGAGGAGGATGAGCTGAGTATGATACATGCTACTGGGGAATATTTGAGCATTAAGTTCCCAGCTTGGCGCTTGCATCTCTCAGGCATAGAGAAAGTGTTAATTCTTTAGCATTCCTACTTTTATCTCCTGTCCTGACTGTCCTTTCTACTGTACTTTTCAGAGCTGAGAAGACCTCGGTCTGAACCCTCTAATTACTACAGCAGTGAGAGCCACAAAGATTATCCAGCTCCCAAAAAGCATAAATTGAACCCTGAGTACTTCCAGGCGAGGCAGGAGAAGCTGCTTTCCACTGCACTGAGTCTGGAACAGCCAAATATCAGGAAGCAGAGCCCTAGTTCTAAGCAGGCTGTCCCCGAGACAATCAGCCCCAGTGAAGGAGTGAGGGACTACAGCCGTGAGACCTCCCCTCCCACTCCAGAGACCGAAGCCTTCCACGCCTCTGGATCTCAGCCCGTAGTAAAGTGGAATTCCAAAGATCTTTACATTGGTGTGTCTACAGTACAGGTGACTGGAACTCCGAAGGGGACCAGTGTAGTAAAGGACACAGCACCTTCTCAGGTGCGCCCGCGGGAACCAATGAGTGTCCTGATGATGGCTAGCAGAGAGGTGGTGAATACAGAGCTGGGGTCCTACCGCGATAGTGCAGAGGACGAGGAGCACGCGCAACCCATGGATGACATTCAGGTGAGCCCCAGCGGGGTCAGGCCCAGAGGCCAGAACCGTGCATCTCCATGGTCCTCACGGCTCATTCCAAAGGTCTCGGCATCTTCTCCCTGGGAAGGGCCAGCCAGCGTGTGCTCTTCTCCAGGGCGATGTTGGCATCTCTTCTTTGCTTGGCCCACATTCTCCTCCTGCAGCTCAGGTGCTGTGACTCAGTCCTGAACACCAGGCCCCAGGTCTCGGCAGAGTTTTCCTGCTCGGCTCCAGCTCCTCCAGACTCACTCATGACCCTGTGAGAAGTCCCCCGCCGCCTCCTTACATCCACCATGACAGCATCATTGTCCCCAGTACTAGTTATAATAGCACTGAGGCCCTAAGATGAGCCAGTAAGAAAGCTGGTGGGCAGAATTTGGATTATGCAAGTGGCCTTGGCATAGCCATTGTGGACCCTGACGATGTGCAGTGGATATCCCTAAAGTCAGTGCATGACTCACCTGACAGTGCAGGAAATACAGGGTCCATCAGAGCATTGAACTTGTAGATTAAGTGAAGATGTCCTGAGGTAAACTCGACTTCAGGTGATCAAGAGAGCTTGTTCATTGAGATACATTGGGGAGATACAAAGGGGCAGTTCTACAACTTCCGAAGGGCTTCCTCTCTCTACCTGCCCCTTGACACAACCAGAAACAAAGGTAAAAGAAAAAAACCTTCCTGAAATCCAACAGGAGACTCACGCCTGTGGAGGTGACACAATCACCAGGAGGGGTGCAGAGGATATCCCCACGCTGGCCACTGGACCTGAGCAGGGTCTGATGGCTGGGCCACACCCGAGCCTGCATCCTGGGCTCCCTTCCTGCCACCCTCTGCCTAACATGGTGTATTATTGGCGCAGGACAAGGCGCGTGCACACTTCCTGGTGTGCTCCCATTATTGGTGGTGGGGAGGCCACACTTGTGATCTGCCAACTACTGCAGTCCCGGGAGACACACCAAGCTGAGACAAATAGGGCTGTAAACAATGGGCTGGCAGATTTCTCCAGTGAAGGGAAGATAGTGAATTGCTTTGGTCTCTGTGGGTCATGCTGACTTTGTTATAACTATTTTTGCCCTATAGCACAAAACCACCATTGACAGTCTTAAATGAATGAGCATGGCTGCATTTCAATAAAACTTTATTTACATAAGCAGGTAGCTGGCATCCTTTGCTAGGCCCTACTGTAGACAGATCCTCACAGAACTCACACCAGATTGTGCCAAGCAGTCTAGAACAGCGTTTGTAAATATCGGTGGCACAAGAAAGCAGATTGTATTGGAAACCAGCAGCTCAAAAGAGGGGAGTGGAGCTGAATGTCTGGGATAGTGCTGTCCAGCAGAGCGTCCCACCAGAATGGAAATGTGCCGGGCTCGTTGTCCACCCCGGCAGCCATTAGCAGGGTCTTGAGCACTTGGGAACTGAATTTGCGATCGTACTTAAGTTTAATTAATTTAAATTTAAATAGCTGTGGGACAGCACAGCTTTATAACAGTTGACCCTCACTGAAAGAATTGATGCCAGAAATAGAAAATAACAATAAAACCTATTTCACATTTTCACCAAGTCTCAAGAACCATGTGACAAGCACCTGACTATGAAAAATTCAGCATTCTGAAGAGAGATTTTACCAAGTGAAAAAATAACAAAAGTAGTGAAATAATCCAAGAAATGTCAAGACAGAGAGGTGAACAGCCAAGCCAGTGGCACCAGTGTAGCCATGTGTGAAGGGCAGTGGTTAGGAAGGGATTCTTCACATGGATGAGGAATAATATTTAAACATTCTGGACCTAACATGCTGCATGATTGTTGCAAAAGGATGCCGAAAGGGGAAATAAAGATGGTCAAAATGTATTGAAGTAGCTCTCTTGTTCATAAAAGATCATAGATTTTCTTCCACTTGTGATATGGATAGGTACGGGCTGAAATAATGATTGTTAGAAATGTCCAGTTATTAGTATAAAAACAGGCCACAGAATTTCTAAGTCATGGGGGGAGTGGAATAAGAAAGTTTGGCTCGTTTGGAAAATGTCCAGGGATGAAAAAAGAAAAAAGCTACAAAACTAACAAGCAGAAAATGTACTATAGGGTTGTTTTCAAATGTGGTAGACTCTTACCAAATGTGGTAATTCCATGAAAAGGCAGATTCTTGGAACTGACTAAAAAGAGTCAAATATATGCTGCTTGTAAAAAATACAGCCAAAGTGAAAATAAAGTTAATGAAAGAAAAGACAAAATGATGAGTAAGCTATTTCAGTCATTATGAAAAGAAGGCTAGGGTGGAGCTCTGTGGAGGCCCTGCGTTGGATCCCCAGCATAAAAAAGAAGGAGAAACAAATATAAAAAGTACAGTTCAGTTAGCCGGGCATAGTGGGTCACACATGTAATCCTGGCTACTCGGGAGGCTGAGGCAGGAGTATCGCAAGTTGAAGGCCAGCCTAGGTAACTTAGCAAGACCCTGTCTCAACATTTAAACAAATGAAAAGGGCTGAGGAGTGCAGCTCAGTGCTCCTTGGGCTGAATCCCTGGTGCCACACAGAAAGATTACAAAGAGGCAAATAATGAACATATATATCATTTTCAGAAAGATCTGACAGGAACTATATCGCATACCTAACTACATAATTTCTGTAAACACTGAAGCAAAGACTAGAAAAATAGGAAGAGTCATAGAGTGGATGCTAAATCTTAGAATTTGCCCAGTCAGGTCAATAAGAAAAGAAATCTGAATGGTAGAGTTAAAGAAAGTTTGAGGTCTGCAGATTTAGCTCAGTGGTGCCACTGCCTACCTCAGAAGGGCAAAGTCCCAAGTTCTATCCCTAGTTCCCCCCACCATGAAGAAAGAAAAGAATGCTTGATATACAGACATTTAATAACATAGTTAATGCATGATTACTTATGGCTCTACCAATATCGTTTGTGTAATTAATATAGTATTTTATATATATACACATACATATAGGTTAAAAAATTGTTATTTGTGGACACATTTCAGAAAATTACTCATATACTGTGACACACAGAGAGTTTGAATAAAAACCCAAACCTACATAGGTAAAGCTATCTTTTCTAACCACAATCCAATAAATTTTGAAGGAAATACTACTTTCAGGGTCCAGATGCTGAGGATATTATTTGCTACAAAGACATCTAGAACCCATCGCTTTCTGCAGCTGTCACAGTTTTCAGCCAGTTACTATCCCAGAATCTCTCACTATCGTATTGAGATGTTAGGATGTTGATGTGTGTTCACAAAATAGAGAAGGATTTGACTATAGAGTAGTAACTTTGTCTTCAGAAATTCCACTTTGCTTTTAATAAAAATTTGAGTTAGCCTGTATGTGCTGCCAACTTAGGAGACTGGAGCCGGAGGATCTCTTGAGTCCAGGAGTTCAAGACCAGCCTGAGCAACACAACGAAGATCCTATCTCAGAAAAAAGCTAACAGAATATGAATACTTCCATGGAAGAGGAATGAAGGCGGAGCTTGGTGGCGTTTGAGTCGCAGTTTGAGAGGGCCAAAAGTCCATGAAAAGTTGCAGTATTATTTTTCTTTATTTTTTCCTGTTTACAAAAAGTAGCTCTTGTTCTTAGATGAAAACTTGAAAATTATCCATAGGGATTTTTAGCAGCTTTATGGAGGTATGATTTTCATACCATGAACTTTAGTACCCATCTTAAGTATGCGGTGTCACAAGTTAGAGCAGATTTATGAACCATGCTCCAGGGCCCCTGCTGGGACCCTCCTGCCGGCTTCGGAGTTCCCCGTGCCCGTTTGCAGTCTACTGCAACGCCCACAGCAGCCACGGTTCTGGATAGACTCGGCCCTCATCCCTCAGGCTTAATTTCTTCCAGGAAGTTCATCTGTTCGTCTAACGGAGTCCTGCAGTGTGTGGTCTTCCCTGTCTGGCTTCTTTCACTTAGGTCGTTCTTGAAGTACATTCATGATGCAGGGGAAGCATTTTCTCCCCTTACTATGTCTCCTTTCAGAACATTTTCACTTTAAAACTGAAACGGCTGTTTTTCAGTTACTGTTTTCAAGAAATATACAAGGAAATTTTAAAATAATTGAGTCCATATGTCTAATCTTAATTTTTAAAAAACCTACCAGCATTGAGGATTCTTAATTATATGCTAGGGATATTCAGGGTACAAATACCAGCAGCCTAACTGTGCAGGTTTCATTAAATTTTTTTTCATGTAACAAGTGCAAAGGTGCAATTGCTTGCTGACAGCATCAGGGCCCTGGGGTTTGGGATTTGTCTTCCTAGGTTTCTCTTTTGTGGCTGTCCTCTCCGTGCACACTGGTTTCTTTATGTTATAGCTGCTGATTCAAGGCAGGAAGCAGGGAGGGGGTGTGCCAGGTGCAGAGGCTTTGCCGCGCACCCCCGCAGATCCCAGCACAGCCTCCCAGTCTGGAAATGGGCTGCAGACCGCCCTTCTAGTGCATGCGGCGGGAGGTGGTCCTAGAGTGACTGCGATCAGTCCCCTGAGGTCCACATGTGCTGCTGTCCATGAGACCAGGGTTCCCCTGGCCAAGCAGGAGAGGATGGGTGGACATCGCCAGGCAGCTAAAGTGTCACCACATCAGGACTGCAGCCTTTGGCACTGTAGGCATGGTGGGCTTCATTTGCTGGTGCAGCTCAGAGCGGAGTAGGTGGAAGTCGGGTGTTCTGTAAGACTCGACCACAAGTTTTTGGTTGAACCGCGATTTAAAGGTAATCAAGTCTCCATCTCAGAATATTTGGGTGAATCGTGTAATAACCTTAAAATGCCACATGAGCGCCCTGGATTGCAGTATAAGCCCTGCCTCCCCCATTTGCTCTCCGGGGCAGGGGGTAGATTGGCTAACTCTGAAGGCTCCTCCCTCACCCAAGTGTCCTGTGAACTTCTGTTTCAAGGTGAACATGATGACATTGGCAGAACACATTATCGAGGCCACACCTGACCGAATCAAGCAGGAAAGCTTTGTGCCCACGGAGTCTCCGGCCTTGGAAAGAACAGACCCCGCCGCTGTCAGCAGCACCATGAGCTGGCTGGCCAGTTACTTAGCGGACGCTGATCGTCTTCCGAATGCTGCCCATATCAGGTAGGAAGGTTCGGGGTCACAGCCGGGGTAGACACCTGAATTGAACAGGAGGCAGGGGAGGCTGAGAGTACAGGGTGTGTGCTGTGGGACACAGCACTTCACTGGGGTAGGCAGAGGGCTTCAGGGCCTGTCTGCTGCCACTCTGGAGGCCTGGCTGTGTCTAAGCCCCCATTGTGTTCTCCCTAGATGAGAGCATCTGAGATAAGGTGTCATCACAAAGGGTCTGGCAGAAGTTTCCCGGGGGCAGGGCGGTGTGCATCCTGGATTTGGTATTTAGCATATTGCTAAACTCTTGAACAGGCTCAGTGTACTAAGGTGCTGGGTACATTCAGCAACTAGGCTGAGGGAAAGAAAGCACATTCGTAACTGCTTGCCGTCTTGTCTCGTGAATGGATAGGTCATGCGCTGTGCCATGACTATGTCCCTTTTCTCCTCTTGTTTCAGAAGTGCATACAACGAGCCTCTAACCCCTTCTTCTAATACCAGCTTGAGCCCCATTGGCTCGCCAGTCAGTGAAATAGCATTTGAGAAACCTAACCTTCCCTCGGCTGCCGACTGGTCTGAATTCCTGAGTGCATCTACCAGTGAAAAGGTGGAGAATGAGTTTGCCCAGCTCACGCTGTCTGATCATGAGCAGAGAGAACTCTACGAAGCCGCCAGGCTTGTTCAGACGGCGTTCCGGAAGTACAAGGTAAAGTGGCAGCGTCTGGTGCCAGGGTATTCTGCGGACCAGGGAGAGAGAGGAGCGTCTGCTTCGTTCAGACTCAGACACATCTCATTTCCTTTTTCTTCCTTGAGTTCACATTTTTATTCAGTGTTACTAATTAGCTCACATTAGATTATTAATAATTTGTCAATAGTGGGGCGGCTGTCATTACCTCAGCTTCCTGTCATTGATCATGGGTATTTTATTTAGTTCACACAAAGTTGATGCCTCTGCCAGAAGTAATTTATGATCTATAAAGTAAGGGTTTCCCGCTGGAAGTCGGGACTGACTGTAGAAAGTTTATGAACTTTTGCAATTAAAAAATGAACCATCTGTGTGTGCATTATTGGTGGGAGGAGGACTCGTAGCCCTCCACAGGTTTTTAAATCTTTGAAAAACCAGCTCCCCAAGGTGTTAAGAGCTATTCATAACTGATTCAAAGGTAAGGTAGCTGGGGATAGCTTAGGAAGGACTGTTGATCTGGTGTGGCAAATGCTGCAGTGCCTACTTTGTTAAATATTTTAAAAATGAATGCCTTTTAGACCCGCTAACATTCAAATATTATGGTTTGACTTAGCAGCAGAAGTATTCAGAGGTTTATTCCATGAATTCGTTTTTCCTAATTTATAATTATCAGTGCAATTTGGTAAGCCTGGGGTTTCGGTGCTGAGCAAGTTGCAGTACTTGGATCATGGCTCTGTCCGAGTCCTAAGTGACAATCCTCATAGGAGCCAGTTACTGACTTTTCTCTGTCTCTCCCTGAAGGGCCGGCCCCTGAGGGAACAGCAGGAAGTGGCTGCTGCTGTCATCCAGCGCTGTTACAGAAAATATAAACAGGTAAAGATCGGTTTGTGTCTGGGGGAGCTGTATCTGGCCCAGGTGGCACTGGCCACCCAGGACCCCTCTGTGCTTCTCGGCTAAAGAGTGTTGTTCCGTCCAGTTCCTCCTAGCAAAGAGGTTGTCATTTACCTCACCTTCCTGAGAAAGCAGAGGAAAAGTAAGCAAAATGAACCAATCTGCAGTTTAGCTCATGACACATAGGAAAGTTTGTTCACAATTTTGGCTTTTCGGTCTTACCAACCTGTGAGGTATTGGTGTGATAAGAAAATTATTGGTGTTTGAGGTGAGGGTCTGTGTCGCAGTAATTCACAGACCTCCATAGTAATTGAAGAGCTGCAGGGAGTTGTTCACAGAGGTCAGAGGAGGTAATCACTGGCTGTTGGCTTCTTGAGTTACTCAGGTTGTGCAGTCTTTGGCTGTTAGCCTTTCAGTGTCTTATCTGAAGAACTGTGGGGCTGGGGATGTAGCTCAGTGGCACTGCACCTGCCTGGCAAATGCACGGTCCTGAGTTTGGTCCCCAGTACTGGGGGAAAAAAAACAACAAAATGAAGAACTGTAAGAAATCTTTGAAAATCTTAAAAAGCTTGGGACATCTTAAACTGCTTTTTACATTCTGTAGGTAGCAGGTGCAGAAAGACTGTTTCTGTACCTTTCCTGTAGGGTTGCTGTTTCCAGAACAGCCTGCAGGTTACGTGGCTCAGGTCCGATGGTAAAGGTACCCAATGAGTGGTGCCCCATGTGCACCTTGCACACGCGTCACCTCTTCTGCTTCTGAGGAGCATCCAAAGTAAATAGTTTTGTTTCCATTTTAAAGGTGAAGCCGGGGCTCAGAGAAATTTAAGTAAATATGACATTCTAATCATCAGAGTGGTCATTACAAGCTTAAAAATCGCCTGGCTGAGTCTGGATGGGTTTGCATGATAAAATTCAATCCTGCCAGTGGGTTCTAGAACCTTTCATTAGCTTGGGCTTCCCATGGGTCTCGCATTTCTGTTTAAGGACCAATAAAGGCTCAGGGGTCTAAGAGTCACATGGGAATGTGGGTTGTGGTCTCTCTCTCTGACGCGGGGCTCTGATTTCTGATACAAGTCGCCATTCCCTCAAGTGTTTCTAGGAAGAACCCTGTTCATGGGGCAGGGAAGGAACCTCTCCTGCTTAGAGCCAGTTGAGTTCATGATCCCAGAAAATGAAGGTTTATTGTGCAAACGCTGACACCACAGTACCTCTAGCTCTGCAGCAGTGATTGGACTGGCTTCGGTTTTGAGAGCCAGCTTCATATTAGCTGAAGGGGTAACACAGAAGCAGGACTGCAAGCATGAGATTATGACAGATGTTTATCCCAATACATTCTTCGATATTCTTTTTAAAATCCTTTCCCAAAGAAATGTTTTCTACACCTAGGAAGCTGGAAGGCAGTATTTTTAGAAATAGTGACAGCTGTAATATAGATTCCTTGGAAGATGGAAGGCATTAAAATATCGAGGTTGCCTTTTTGGGGGAGTTTTATTGGTTCTGCTTTTAATTTCATTATATTCAGCAATCTAACATTAATCTTGTATTTTCTGTTTCTCCCCCAAGCTGACATGGATAGCCTTGAAGGTAATGATACACCCAAGTCCTCTCACAAATCATTCCACCAGAGTCACAAACTTCACAGCCATCACCAGCCCCAGGGAGGGGCCCTTAAGCTGGCACAGTCATGAGACAGACAGTGCCCCCTTGCCAGGCCGCCTCCCCACAGTGCATCCATCCTCTGCAACCTTGAGGTTTTTCAGTTGGAGCGGGTTTTGGCATTAATCACAATTGGATATTTTCTTGGCTGGTATTGACCCGTACAAGCCAATTGCCGTGAGCCCAGTGGCCACTCAGTAAATATCCCTTTTCCATGACAGGCTGCCCTGTAGCCCGGCAGGTTTGAAAGTGCTATGTGTACAGGCCAAGATGGTGAACGCCACAGAAGCTCTGTAGGCCCAGTGTTCTTGTCTTAAAAGACTGTGACCAGTGAAAATGAAAGTTAAGCAGGTCAGATGAGACTGAAGAAGATGCTTGCTGAAGAGGCCTGTTTCTAGAACATTTTGAGAAGTCAGTTTCCTTCCCTCTCATTCCACCTCATACATCCAGGGACATAGTTAGGCAGATGCAGGGTTTTCTGAGGAATAATTTTCCTTACAGTGGTAAGTTGCCTTCTCATAAGCAGAGGGCTCTGTGTGACTTCTCGTCGTGTTTTATCCCATTAGAAATCTGGACGCAGCATTTTTAGACTACGGAAAACTCTGTGTTTTTGGTGCCTGGACTGATCCTGAGGAGGACTTTGGCTCCGGGACCTCCAGCCCTCAGCTTTGCTGCTCTGCAGCGGGCCGGGGGAGGGCGCTGCTGGCCCTGGAACCTGAGCAGACCCCGACTCTGACGACCTCTCAGGGCTCCCTACTTTGCCAGCATGTTGGTCGATGATGTTTATCTTTCTCAGGGTGATGACCTAGATTAAAGGTGTCAGCGTTTCATGATAAGCCTTGTATTTGGGACCTTGTAACTCCGTCAGAAATTTGCTACCTGGAATGATAGTTAGAAATCGGAGGCTGGCTGTCGGTAGATCTATGTATGTGGGAAGTGGAGGCATCATAGGATTTTAAATGTTTCCAAACCGGATAGTAAATATTAATCTTAAAAGAAACATTTAAAATTTTGTTTTGTGAATGCTTTAGACGCATACATGTCCATTATTTCTGTTAAAATCTTTTTCAAGATGGGCATTTGTATTGATATTTTGGGGAGAAAGTGCATACAGAGCAGTGCACCATCTCCAGCAGCCCCTTAAGCAGCCCTATCCATTGGGAGGTAGGTGGAGACATTCCTCACTTGCCTCTTTGGTGATGAAACCCCAAGCAGAGACCTGAAGGAGAAAGGGAGGAAAGGGCCTCTCTCCTCCCCTTCCCCGCGCTTGTAGGACAGGTGGACTCATGCAGCCGCTGTTGTTACTGTCTTGCTCCTTCTTGTTTCCCCTGCAGTATGCACTTTATAAAAAGATGACACAGGCGGCCATCCTTATCCAGAGCAAATTCCGAAGTTACTATGAACAAAAAAAGTTCCAGCAGAGCCGGCGTGCCGCCGTGCTGATCCAGAAGTACTACCGGAGTTACAGAAAATGCGGCAAGAGACTGCAGGCTCGCCGGACAGCGGTGATTGTGCAGCAGAAGCTCAGGTGGGCCACGGGGACCCCGGTGTGTGCAGGGCTGGGGAGCTGGTTCATCCTACAGACCAGGGCTCCCTGGGGCAGCTGACACATTCGCAGCTCCTTCCTTTACAGACCCTTCTAGGAGCTGAGGCTTGGTATGGTTATACCTGTGCTATGGCCCCTCTTAGTCCATTGAGTTCCTCTCTAGCCCCGCCTTGCCCCATTGTATTTTGGTGTCTCTGGCCAGATTCAGCTTCTGTCACAATTTGGCGAGACCAAAGGTTATGCTGTGAGTGGTGTCACCCTATTTACTAGTCTAAATCATGGAGCACAGAAGACTTTGGAAGAATAATCAGGGTTACACTGTTCCATTCTAGAAAATCTAGCAAAAAACCTTGAGTGGAGTAGAACACATTGACTTACAGAACAGATAATGGCCCAAAGAAAGAGTCAAACTCGAGCAAATGGACCTCTAAACTAAGGACGTCTGCCTAGCATCAGGCGCCTTTCTCCGCAGCATGGCTCAGAGAGTGGTACAAGGACTTTAGGGGGCGTTGCTTCCAGCTTCGTATTGTTCCCTTGAACCGGACTAGAGTCCCCACCTCCACCCCGGAGTGAGCATTTCGAGGGCAGTGGGTGCTTCCACTGGTCCCCTTGCTCCCCGGGCTCTCTGACATATCCCCTGCCGCACGGACCAGTTCTTAGCTTTTGCGTCTTTGCCTCTATAGGTCCCTGCTCGTGACAGTCATTTATTCTGACTTTTTTCAGGAGCAGTTTGTTAACCAAAAAGCAGGACCAAGCTGCTCGGAAAATAATGAGGTTTCTACGTCGCTGTCGTCACAGGTACATTAATCCTCATCTTTACATTTCATGCATCTAGAATGATAAAATCACCCTGACCTTCTTAACCACCCACTAACTCCTGGGTAATGCCAGTATCCCCAGCCAATGTGAGGTAGACATCCCAAATGACTAGGCACTAGGTCGCTGCCCCGAGACTGTGGGAAACCACTACAGCTGGAGTGTGTGTTCACCAACACTGGAGGTTTTGCCCTTCGGTTTGTGTGTTGATTCAAGCGTGAGCATAATTAAGTTGGACTAGCTCTTAATTCGAGCTTCTCTTTCATCTGTTATTTATACGCCACTTAGCACTAGAGTCATCCTGCATGTGCTAGCATACATCCAAACAGAAAATAGTTGCTTTCCTTGAAGAAAGGAAACAGTGAGCATTGTCCAGGTTTTCTGAGCTGGGCTTTCCTCTAAATGCCTGCTGCCCCCTGCTGGATGTGTCGGTTATCAGTGGAAGCTGGTCTGTCATGAAGACCAGGAGAAACTCCTGGGAGGAACCGGGCAGGGAAAGGCTGACTGAGGTTGCAGCTGTATTTCTGTTAGAAGGAGGGGCCCCTGGAGTCCAATGTCCAGGACTCAGCATCTGCTAGCGGAGCCAGCATGAGGTGAGGAGTGACTCACGCCTGTGCAGTCTTCATAACGACTGGTTCTTTACTTCGACTCTTGGGGCTGGAGGAAAGTGTGCTGTGTCCCCTGCCTAGATCAGTACTCCAGTCTGGGATCTTCGCAACAGCCATGGGTGCTGTGTGCGGTTGACCTTTCCCTGGCTGTGGTGTCTGCTGTGCAACAGCTGTGCAGCTGAGAGTAGCAGACCTTACAGCAGGCTCCAGCATGTCCTCTTGGTCCCTTTCCTGTTTGATTGTGCCCCAGCCTTAACATTGTATTTAACTGGATGCCAAGGGGCCTCACTTTAGCTTTTTCTTACTCTGAAAGGAAAGAGTTGGTTGCTCATTTTGAAAATATTTTACCTTTAAGAGTGAATAGGGTCTAACTGGCTACTTAAGTCAGCAACAGGCAGAAACATGCATGGCTACCGTGGTAACGATAACCAGAATTTTTAAAAGAGCTTTTGTTCATTAGGAGGTGGGGTGTTCTTGAACTGGAGTGTGGGGAGAGGTGCTTGGAAACAGACCCCGCAGGGTATTTGCCTCTACCACGCCCGCTGAGAACTAGCAAGTGAGATCCAGTACAAATTCTCTTAAACAGGAATCTGTCGGGAAATGCATGGCCGGTCGTCAGGAGGCTGGTCTGTAGGGCTAGGACCTCCTGAATTGGTTCCGCAAACCGCACCGAGGTTGACTGTCCAGTTGTCCTTTTCCTTGACATTAAGGTGCTGGGGACCATAGAACAGCTGATTCCTTCATGTGGTAAAGAGAGCAGGGACTCCCTAGGCCCTTCCCTCCCCGGCCTGGGTGTTCATGGGCCCTTCTTCCCTCTTCCTCTTCTACCTGCAAACCTCAGGAAGGCTCTGCCCAGCGCAGAAACCAGTGGACTTGAACCCACAAGGTGGAATCACACAGCACCTCCTCTTTCATCTACTTACCTGCAGATTCCATTTTCAAGATTTCCTTAACAGTGATCAATTTTAGGCCACTTCAAACAAACCAGAATATTCATAGATTAAATTTCACCATACTCTCCCTGCTCAACTCTGAAGATTCATAGGAAGTCTTCAGGAGAAAAATCACAGGAAGTCCTGTTCTTATTTCCCTTGTATTTATTTATTCCCGCAGCTATGCCCTGTGTTTACAGTGGCTGAGTTGAGAGAGTAAGATATTTAAACAAAACATAAATTCATAGAAAGCTGCCTCCCCAAAAGTAGGCTGAACAAAGGAACATTTCCGCTCTTATTTTTAGGGTTCTTTTTGTAAACCAGTACAGAAGAACTTCTCTCCCTTCCTTAGAATGTGTTTTAACTAGTCACGACCTCATAAGGCTAGAGAAGGTGCATTATGAAGACACATCAGAGTTCATGCCTTGACACAAAACAGACCTATTGGCTCTTTTCTCGACCTTTTATAATTCAGAGGTTAGAAAAAACAGACAAATTTTAGCGTTCTGTGTATCCTGACTATATCAGATTAGTTTTCACTTCCCATTTCTGTATATCCAATTAATATGTTCAGTTAAGAAGCTTGAAATCCTGAGTGTCCTGGAGGTTTGTTTGAAGTTTTATCTTCCCTAGGCTGTGTACAATCCATTCTGGTTTATTTAATACTGTTTGAAGAGAAACCATCCCGTCTGTTGTCCTTAGAAGCATTAAGGTCCCTGTTCTATGGGACCTCATATGACACCTCCCCACAGGCGGGGTAGCTGGTGGCCCAGGAGACACTGAGAATCTCTTAAGTCCTGTGACCCCCCTGTGTGTTTTAAGACTTAAATTGGTGAATTTTCTGCCTGCTCATTTCACAGACCCCAGCATCGCTCCTTTTCTTCCTTCGCGACAAACCACTTTATATTCTTTTGGTTGAAATAAAGCTATTTATAAGATTTCTGTTGTGACCCTCCTATGCTAATAGCTCTTTGGTATTGTTTCACTGTCTAAAGCCCCCTGGTGGACCATAGGCTGTACAAAAGGGTGAGTTTAGCTGCCTGCTAGCCAGTTTATCTTTTATCTTCCATTTTTAATATTTTGCTTTTTGCTTGCTTGCATGGGGCTGCAGCCTAGGTATGCCAGTAAGTTTCACATCCATTTTGAATGAAATAAAATAAGATGAAAACTAACCCTAATTACTAACACTGCCGTTTTATACAACAGGAGAACAGTCCCGTACAGTAGGTTAGAATGCATGAGTAATGAAGAGGGGGCCCTTCCTGGTCCCCACAGGGCATGCTTGGACTTGGTGGAAGATGCCTTCCGCGCACATGTTTAAATTTTAATAAGGCTACATCGTAAGAAAACATTAAGCAAGTGGTTTTTGGTGACCAAAATAATTTGCCACATCAAATTTTCTCAAGTACTGAAGGCTTCCTAGGCAGTACTAGGCTTCTTTTTTTTTAAATGATCTATTTCTTGTTTAGAATTAGTGTTTCCGTTTTCCCCTGCTCCTATAATTTCATTGTCTAAATCTGCCTTCCCTGTGCTGTGAGGTGAGTCAGTGTACAAAGCCGCCCTTCCAGAACCATCCAGAACATTCATTGCAAAAGGGAGCAGAGCAGACTCCAGTGCATCATCAGAACACTGAGTGGAGAAAATGTAGGGTGCAGTCTCTTAAATCTGTGCATTTTATATTGTAGTTGGGAGTGGCTATTCCCGAGGAATTTGTATTTTAAAGAAGTTACCGCCGATAGATATGCAATAGACATTATTAGCATCCCCAAGATTTTACAACATGATGCTGATTTGTAAGCGTTCATGGGAGGCAAGAACTGGGTGCAACTGTAACCCACTTGAATAATTTTAAAGCTAGGAAACTAATTCACCAACAATGGATTTGAGTTTAAATTAATTGGAACTTTTACAGCCTTAATGGAAGATGAATTTAGGGCATAAAGGGGGAGTTACCTTCTTTAACCACATTCACTACGCCCTCTTCCTGATCTTGCCCAATACTTTAGTCACTTCTGAGATTTCTGAGAAACAATAATTCGGAGAATCTTAACTCTTCTAATGTTTTGCAGAATATTCCCCATCTGACTGAATTTATGTTGATGTTAATATTTATTTGTTATGTTTTAAGGTGGGGTTGGCAAACTTTTCTTACAAGGCTTAAGAGTAAGTATGTTAGACTTTGTGGGCCGTACAGGCTGTTCCGACTGCGCAGTTCGTTCATTGTAGCCTGAGCACAGCCAAAGACAGTGCAGAAAGGACTAGCTGAGGCCACGTTCTGATAAAGTCACATGAGCAGGCCAGGGGCTGGGCCTGGCCCTCAGGCTGTATTATGCCAACCTGATGCTAGAATTGAGTTCTCATGATTCTGAATGATGACTTTACCTGTACTAAAGAATATCTCACCTGTTTTAAAACCATTAATAGTTGATGGAGAAATTTTTTTAAAGCAACTACACGTGTAAGTGTAACGAATCTTCTTTAGTGTTAGGTGTAGTTATCGCTGAAGCATTTCCAGTCCCTGGAGTAGAACTGGCTCAGAGATGTCTGTGCTTGAAATTTAAGAGGAAAAGAGACAAGAATCTCTCTGTCTCCCTCTCTCTGGTCCCTCTCACCTTCTGCATATATAGATAATATTTCTTTCCATTGAAAAGCCTCCAAGAGAACAGATGCATGCTGTAGTTCTCAAGCAAACCACAGGGTGTGGAATCTTGCATGTTAAGTGCAATGATGAGAGAGAGCTTGCTCTGAGGAACCAACATTGTATTAGACGTGGTTGCTTACGCATTTTTGAAGCTTGTCTAGTGTGTTGATCATTTCTAAGAGCACATTTAAGGTGTTTTTCAATGCCAACCACCGTCCCTACTTTAATTTCTTTAGTGCCTGCGGCATTCTGTTGTGAATCCCTAAGACTCCCTCATGCATGGAAAGTTTGAACTTCGTAACGTCCTTATGCCTCATGAAGTTTAGGAAGCTTGAGAGAGGGGCTGAGAGGCTTTGAGGTACCACGATGTGTATCTGACTGAATTGAGGGACAGTTTATATACAGCACTGTATAGTTATCGACAAGATCTCTTCTCCCTCGCTCTTCCTCAGAGAAGTCACAGTGGCACCCCATCTTAACTGTCCCTGAATTGAAAATTTTCTTGGGAGCCAAGATTCTCTGAGGATTTATGTCTCTGCGATTTATGTCCAAAAATTTTTTCTTTTTTATGAAGTACACTAAAGTTAAGACATGTAAGGTTCATACATTGGAAATAATACTTGAACATGGAAAGAATCAAATTGTGTAGCACAGTATTTGGGCCCCCAGGCCAGTCCAACGGCTGCCCAACAGGGAGGCCCTGTCAGGCCCCGGAACTCAGACCCTGTAGGTTTGGTCCAGCAGCACAGCTGTTAGAGGACCATTTGGGTCTCCAAGCTTACCAGTGCTTCTGACAGGCTAAGAAAAAACCACCAAGAAGTCTTCACTGAGTCCAGCTGGTGGTTATTTTTGTTCAGCCTGTCCTTTGGGCTTAGCCCTCATTTACCAGGAACTCAAAAGGGAGTTGCTGGATTCCTGATGCTGTCAGGGGTTTGGTTTGGATTTTTTATCTCAGACACAGTAACTGTCTATTGAGGAGAGGACTTTTGTCATACACAGAGATATTTAAATCACTCTTAACATTTCTTTTAGTTAATCTAGCTGATAAACCACCTTGAGCAAATGACTGAATGATTTTTAAGCTTTAAGAAATGTTTCAGGTGTATATGATGAAAATACCTCTCCAGCTGGATTTTTAGTATATCTGACAGAGTGTCACTCCGTTTTATAGCAGAAAAACCAAGATGCTTTATACATAGAGGAAATAGCAGATTGCTGAATTATATGACAGAGTTAATCCTCACTGTAATGAAATTTAATTGGTCTAAACATTGCCTCTTTTCTGGATGAAAAATGATTTTCTGCCTCTCTTGAAGACACTTTTTTCGAAGACAGTAGAAGCTATTCTCGAAGATGAGGGAGGCCATTCTCTGAGAAGTATTTTCTAGACAAGTCTCTCCCTCCTCCTTATGCCTCATACTTCTGCAAGAAGGCTTTATAAGCTGCACAGTCCGTTCTGGTCCTTAGTAGCAGCCCTGGAAATTCTGGTATTAAATAACCTATTTCTCGTAAATTGCTAGCCTAGTTACTTGTGTTTAATGAAGCTATCCTACTGACTTAGAAGAACCTTAATGGAAGGAAGAAGAGATAACACGTTTTGAGCACACATTTTTAAACAACAGCTTTCCTCTGTATTTGTAAGTGGGGTTTCCACACACTTAACTTGGTCAAAAGCTGCAGTCGTTCGGTAAGTAGTGATGAGCAGAAAGCAGCGTGGCCTCCGCTTGTGATTGCAAGCCCATGATGTGCCTCCATTGGGCCCTTACCAATCTCTGGGAATCATGCTTCCACTTTCGGCTTCATTGTGTACGCTTGATCCTAGGGGCAGTTTTCTGACAATGCCCCACAAGTATACTGAGAAAAATAAATACTAGGGTTGACAAATGGGATACTACGCAGATTTAGTTAAATCCAGTGTGAGGCCTTGTTTCTAGGGGACCCAGTATTTCCAGGGAAGAGTAAGAAATGAATGTGGAATGTGTCGTAAGGATTTATTAATCTCCAAAGTAATTTTGTCTCACTTGCCTCTTTTAGGAAATGAATATTTTTGGAGCACAGTGGTGTGTGTTAAATTGCAGACAACATGCTCTGTGTCATTCTTACTGGGCCTCTCTGTCTTTTTTGTTTTGCGATCCAAATGAGATTTCTGGAAAATGGCAAGCTCTCTCTTATCCTAAATTCCCCACAAGCTCTTGCAGCTCTCAGAGCAACAGGTAACTAACTAATCAGAAAGCCGCATCAGGCTGCCCTATCTATTTTTGACGTCCAGCATTGCAAGATTGTACCTGCTGAAATCCACTGACTCATGAAACATTTCTCTGGCTGAGCATAACTGAGTAGCTGTAACAAAGCGGCTTTGCCTTATGCTTTTCCCATAGAGCTATTGTTTGCTATGAGTATCTGGAGCAGGCCTCCTTCATTTTCCATGAATTACCATTGGACGTCTGACGGAGATAAATCCCGTGGGCTTCCGCTGCCTTTCAGTGCTATTGCTTACTACATCACCTCAGTACATTATGATGCAACTTCTTTATTTTTTTTTGGTTGAGACTGCCGCTGTACCTCAAAGTGGTGCTCATTTTCAACCTAGAATGCTTGGGGAAATCCTGGGATTGTCTTTAATTTTAATAGTTGAATGGTCACAGGTCAAAGTCTTGCTGTCTGATTACCATAACTGTGAGCTAGTAATAGGAGGACTCTCCAAGTTACTGGTATGCGTTTCTTTAGGGAAGCACCACCTTGTTACCTGTAGAAGGCATGGTAACCATCCTCTGTTACTTGTCTTTATGACCTTTGCTGGTCTTCTGTGTAATGGGATTCAGAAATAAGTACAATTATAACAGGATTTTTTCAAAGATAACCTGGATATCTGTAGGTTCAGTTTTACTAGTCCTGAATGAGCCTCATATTTGTAAAGAGAGCCAAAAACTTAGTGACCTTTAGCTGAGTTTGTGTAACATAATTCAACAAAGGTTTATTGAGTTACTTGTATTCTAAGGTAGATAGTATATATAGACTCAGTGATCCAGGCACTGGATTTTCAAGTATAATTCCAATGTAAGAAATTCAAGCCTATCTTCCTCAAGTTAATGTTTTTAACACAGGTACTGTCAGTAAAATGAATTCAGTCACCTGATTTCAGTCTAAATGAATTTTTCCTCCACTGAATTTTTCAGTTTATGTCATGTGTATGCA